TTAAAAATTAATATTGATTTGTAGGCAAAGAAATCAAATTAATGTTTTTGATAGTAAAGTGCTCAATAAATGAGGAATATGAAGGGATATTTGAAAGTCCTATGTAATTATTTTTAGCTGTCTTTTACTTGAACGTTTACGCTACTTAAACCATCATTGACACTAAATTTGTTTATCGTTATATTTGTATAGTATTTATCTTATATTTATAATATTCTACTAAACTAGTATTTTTTGTAAATACAAACTCATTGACCTGTATCGTTATCTCCTTTGATATCTATATGTGTTCATTAAAAAAAAATTTAAAAAAATGAATCGTTGTATAGTTGCATTTCCTGATGTATATAAGTTGCGTCTATGAATATTCGAATGTGTCGACTTACGCTAAGGTATTCCGCATCTGTTTCAAACAAGGTGCCTAGTTTGTACAACAGCCTTCCTCTTTCAGAGGCAACCATAGTTCTCCAGGGGCTGGAGAAAAAATTAAGGAAAACGCGCAGAAAGCCGTACTCCGTGTAAAAGCAGCTTTGGCTTCGTGGTAACCGCTATGTTTCATTTCATTGCCGGATGTATTTTCTTTGAGGGTTTTACAACGTGAAAATTCATACACAAAGTTAAACATTGTGAGTTACGCAAGAGAATATAAAGAGAAGAAATCCATGGGAAACTTGCAAATTGCTGCTTCAACTTCCTGGTCTTTACATTTATTTTACCAAGCGCTCGACCAGGTCATTCCAGGCCAAAGTCGAAAAAACAAAACGCATGAAAATGAGAGCGAGCAGCGCATTCGTTCTCTTAATTCATTCATTTTCTCTTGGTTAATCGTTAATGGCAGGAATTTCGGCACGCAATAGTCGATACAAATTAAAAGAACTTCTTGAAAGCTTCCTGCGTTAGTTGGGATAAAGGTTCTTGTTTGACACAGCTGAACTGAAAATGGCCATTTTTGGCTACAAATACATCAGATTGCATAAAATGTTTAGTGTAACCATGTCATTCCACTTGCTTTCGTTCGGTGTTACGTAGGTTGGTTTCCCGATATTTAAAAAAAAACCATTTCACCAAAGTTTCATTATTTTTGAGGACGATAGTTTAAAAGTTGGGTTAATTAGTCCACTATTTTGCATTTTGACAAGAAAATCTTTTAAAGGCCTTCAAACTGTCGAACAATACCATCCGTTAGTGCATTAATCAATCCGTGGAAACCTTTCGAAGCAGGAACTTAGTC